ATTGGAGCGTTTGGCCTGGTAAATTGTATATCAGTATGCCCTTCCAGGCTCTGAAGAAGGCGATACTGCCGAAACGTCAGCCAGTATTGTATTGTATTTTGTTTTTCTATGGAAGTAAATGTATGCTGTTTAAAAACCTCGCAATTGCTGAACATGAAAACGACGCATTCTTAGTCTAAGTCCAATGACGAGGTTAATAGAAAGTCGATCCTGGGATTTATATTTTGTCGCATCCTCCCAACGGTTTACCGCCTCATCGTGGCTAGGAGCTCTTCCTGGGTGTCAGGCTGCGATGTACGACGAGGGATTCATACCCCTGACAAGGTCTCCCAAACAGAGAAGGAATCCCGCGTTTCCATCGGGAAGCCCAGCTAAGAGTGAAGCAATACGAGGATCCATTACCGTCCTGGTACCAATCGCTTGGTGGCAAATCTCGCTCTGATCCACAAGGGTGGCGACCGTCTGTAGTGGTGACGACCTAGGGCAGACTTTGGCCCGGCCGACCCCGGGACTCCAGGGAGCCACAATGGCTAAACCAGCAAAACTTTGAAAAGATGGAGATTATACTGGAGACCACACAACCAATGAAGGCGGACCATCCAAGTACCCAAGTATCCAAGTATTTTGTCGCATACCAAACAGGATGCGGAGGTGTGGAGTATAAGTGATAAGGCGTTCGGCCTTCACCAGCTTCACGTAAACATTTCTCATGCATTTGACTTCAATGGCAGTATCATAAAGGTGACTGTATGCATAGTAACTAAACATGTGTTCTACCACCGAAGCGCGCGATCGAACTGAGGAAGCTTTACCTTGCAGGGCACCTTTTAAGAAAAACATTACGGAAACCAGAAAATTATATGCTAGAAAAGTTATTGTAGGGCTGGTTAATGCCGAAAATGTAGCAAAAATAAAGTTTGGGACCTTTTATTTCTTGTTCGTTCCGTTGTGGGCGGCTACTCAACACTCAGTATGGTCGTTTATTTTAGTCTTCTAACAATGTGTGACTTCCATTTACTGCCTATTATTTTTTTCATTACAAGGTATTACGTGAAATACAACCACAAGGATGGTGTATGTGACAAAGCTCGCAACGTCAGTTGGCTTTGAGTCCATGATTAGATATTACACAGGTGCCGGCGATTACCCTGCCCTTTCCTCTAACATCCGCTGAAATAAAACCAGAAATTCTTCTTTCATATTTTTTCTCTTTTCTACTCTTCTCTTTCCAGTTTCCTCCACCTTTTTCCCTCTCTCTTCTCCTTCTCTTTCCTTAGTTTCTTAATTCTTTCCCCATAAGATTCGCAAAACAAGGGAGAGAAGTTACGTAGTATGCTGCTACACCGTTTTAGTAAAGGACAAACAAACGATAAAGCTCTCGGCGTTGATCAACCCCTGAAGGACGCCTCATGCATTTGACTTCATCAAGCATTGTTAGAGGTAATTGAATGCGTGTCTGGCCTTTACAATAACTCGTGGTGACCTACCGATGCAGCAGGTGCTGCTATCCTCGTAGACAAGTAGACAAGTCTGGTACCGATTTGCCCACCCTAGCTGGATGGAAGGCTTGGTGAGTTTTAGGGGCGCAGTGACCAATCCAATGTGCATTACAAGGCGCTTCCGACCACTGCGCTACACATCTCTGTTTTGGAACGTTTCACAAGTTTTTGTCTTACCCTTGAAGGGCCATGTAGTTCAGTAAATAGAGGTTTCTACAATACATACGAGATTATTGGTTCCACCCCCGCTGCGACCCAAGCAGTTTATTCTTTCATGGTTTGAAAATTGGTTCTAAATTTCTATGGGAGAGTAAAAACATTGATTTCATATGACGATGAGTTCGCCAGTCAACGTAAGGGCCAGATATGCATTCAATCATTTTTGCGATGATATAAGTGATGCGAAATGTTCGATATATCTGAATAATTGATGTGCAACGAGTATTTTATCCATTTCATCATTTACAAGTTTGTTATTAGCCGAAAGCCGTTCAGGATCTGCCTATGGTTGCGCACAATACGTGCTAAGTGATGACATTGAAGATGATCCAGCATGTGCGAAAAAAGACATATTACTCAGGCGGGAATTAGACTAATTTTATTTATGTGACAAAATTAAACAAATAGCTTCACATAAAAGTACAGGCAAAAGCTCTATTTTCAGGACCACACCAACGTATGTGGTTCAAGCGGAATACTGTCGATGTGACGGTGATCTCTGCAATCGTATCCATCACATCGCCTCCTTCCCAGAGCGAAAACCGATCTCACGTCAAAAATTTTACGTACCTCACGGAGGAAGATTCAGAACGTCTTCTTCTCGGGGTACTTTTCTTTATTTCTTCACATTATTGATCTTTTATTGAGTTGTCCATTCGAATGAGGAGTGTATCCTCATCGTCGGAACATATTTTTAACAAAAGAGGTGTGTTTATTGTTGAAAAACCCATTTGACATAACTTTCAAACTTCTAGAACTGAAATTTACGGTTCGATCAACCTGTAGGTAGTGCAGCTGTTTGCCGTGTACGCTAGATACGACAAATAGCGACTGAAAAGGAGCGCAATAAAAGTGGGACGAACAGAACGATCAGATCCCACCCATTCAGCAGCTCTAAAGCTATTCAGTTACACTTTTTATGCTTTGTAGAGGTTTAGTTATTTGTGATTTCGTTAACAAAAACCCGAGCAACTGACGCAAATAGCGCAAACCTTTTGATGTTTTCTTGCGGCTGCGGTAGACATCTGGTCAAAATTTATCCCTTTTAGTTGCAATGACAACAAAAAATCTTGCCTTCCTATGGTCCATCAGCCACAGAGAAACCCAAAAAAGCGCTGTCCATTCCTCTATTGATTCTCTACGTACAAGAAAGGGTTTTTTCCATAGGCAGATGAATTTTCATTCATGTAAGAGAATGGCGTACCTGTCGCAGGTATATAAAGTGCCTTCATTAATTTGCTTATGCTTTTTGCTCTCGTCTGACACTACAAATAAAATTCATTGATAATTACAATTGTTACAAAATAAACATCAAAGCGATAAATATGGTAGATTCAGCACCAAATATTCGTAATCTTCACCACGGAAAACTACTGAAATATACTTTTATGTTGGAGGAACTTTTCACGTCTTGCTTTTTTCTCTTCCTCTAATCGTTTACGTTCTTCATGTTCCTCTTTTATTTCTTGCTCAAATCGAGATAATTTGGTTTGTTCCTCGATCTGAAAAACAAAGATGTCTCCCATAACAGAAATACAGGAAGGCAGAGTCAAAAGTAGAAACCGAAGCCCAAAATGTTACTTCAGCGGTTTTCTCTCACTCATGTTTCAAACCAAACCTCCCTTCAAGTTTCTTTATTACCTAGCGCATTACGTTTAATGCAGCTAGACTGAGCAGAAGCCTGATCAGCAAGGCTTTACATCGTTAGCTGGTCAGCTCCCTCTCTTCTATGCGGTAACCATCAATTTCTCCTAGAGTACTAGTCATGCGTATTGGTAAAACCTTATCCTTACATCTGACAATACTTTGTTAGGTAAACTTTAGGACCAGGCAGAATAACACAAAATTTCTTCAACATTAATAAATAGTGAGTTAAGTCAGTAAATAAACAAATGTTGATCACATAAAAAAGGAAGGAGAAAACCAAACGAACTTTCGCCTGGAAAAAACTGGCAGCACCAAGAACTCCCTCCTTCGACACATCGACACTATCGGCTAACTTTTGAAACACCTCAAAATCAAAAGAATAAAAGAACGCAAGACAGTTACAACTGAAAGAAAAAAGTTGAAGCCTTCTTTGTAAAGAAAATTTAGTTAGTCATCAAAAAACGCTCATATTTCCTTAACAGTCCTTCAGTTTTGAATTACTGATTTGCACTGAAGGCGTTGAAAAAAATTGCAGGAAAACCACTTCAGTGTTTCATAAATACCCACCGTATGGCTATGATGGGGCGCGTGTGGCGCAGTGGTCGGAGGTCCTCTGCATCCCACACGTGGAATCGAGCCCATGGCCCGCCAAGCCTTTCATCCCTCCGGGCTCGGTAGATTGGTACCAGACTTATCTGGGCGGATAGCAGCATTGGCTCAATACATCGGTAGGCCACCGCAAGTCATTGTAAAGGCCAGATATTCAATCAATCACCTCCAAACGATGCTTAATGGAGTCGAATGCATGACGCATCCTTCACGGATTGATCAGCACCGAGAAATTTATCCTTCTTGTCCTTTTAAGGCTCTCATAAGAATTGTAAACAAATTAGTTTTTAATTTTTGAATACAGGAGTGATTCGACTGTATCAATTTTGCAGAGCTTCGGAGATTTAATCAATTTGATAATCAAAAACTCTCCCCCTTACTATAAGAAGATTTCAATCAAACGATTTCATGAAAATAGAAGTGATTTAACTAACAAAAATGAAAATACTGACTTTTTTCATTCCCAGCCAACACCGCGACCACCTCGCAGTCAATTTTCCATCCCAAATTTCTTAAAGAACCCACCGCTGCCATTAATCTATTTGCTATCAATTCCTACCGGTTCATCTATTTGCTATCAACTGTTACCGATTATATTAAACGTTCGGCCGAAGGGATTAAAGACGCCGTGCAGATACTCACATCGTCCTGTTTGGAGCGTATCTTGCGCTAATCAACCCTCCCATCCCTCTGAGTTGGTAAAATGCCACCATTCCTGCTTGGGAAAAGCTCTCTCCAACCTCCAAAACTTGTAGACACTCTGTGGTGAAGATGTGGGAGCACTCTAGTAGAGCTATCTCACGATTCCAGAAGGATAATACGACCAGAATTCAACAACATTCATGAAGAAGAAATTCTTAGCTGGCAGTTGAACCCACACGGAAATTCGAAGACCTTTGCGGACGGCGGAACTAAGACAACGAACTGAATGAAGGGAATACTGCTATCCACACAGTTTGAGATGACAGGTCGTATAAATGACAAATCAAAAATAGAGAATTTGCATAACGTTGGTTAGTTCTACATTTATAATTTCCAAAAGCTCACCTCAGAACAACCCAATTGATTTTGAGCCGCAAGACGGAAGATGAGGAAAAACTCTCGCAATGAAATTTTACCATCTTGATCTTCATCCACCTAAGCAAAATCGATTCACGAGACTATACATTATATTAGTTCTTTCACAAATAAAATGCCTATATGAACAAGATAATTATCGACCGATTCGCTTTATTGGTCAATTCCTCATTTGAGCCACCCAGAGGCACATCTCACCTTTCTTATGATTTCCTTCAGTGCAATATGAGTTTGGGCTTCACCAAGTTTCTCCATCATTCGTTTCAATTCATCGAAATCAATGAAACCATCAGCGTCGTCGTCATACCTTAAAACAGATAAGTTGGTGACGCCGTTGAACATTCGCAACTCAATGAATATCATCAAGATGGTCCGACTTCATTAAACTAAAGCATTCAATATTTAAAAACAAAGATAAAAACCAAGATAACAGATTTCTCAGCAGTAATCCTCTCTGTTCATCTCCTTTCATTCAAAGCGAAATAATGCACAGCGATCTTTCTATTCACAATGTTAACTTTTTATTTGTTGCCTGGTATAATTTTCCACGCCATGGTATGATGCGAATGGTGTGGTGGTGAACGCGTTAGCCCCCGGAAAGAGTAATAGCGCTTTCGTTCCCCACCACACAGATATGCTTTCCGGTATTTTCCAAATATCTCAGCAACAACGTGATCCTTCTATTCGTTAATATCCACAATTACACACGAATATATAAATGAGACGTCTGTTATTTCGCCGCCTCCATCATCCCTCAACAGATTTCGCGAGAATTTTCTACAATGAGACTCTCAAAGTAAAGCATTCAGTGGATGAGAACTGAGCTCTCTTGTTACGGCACTGCGCTTACTGTTAAGTTAACATCAGCAAGCTTAGCTCATGAAATCTTCCTTGTAGCCGGTATTTCAACGTCATTGCCCACTTCAGAATCGTAATGATTCAAGTTGAGTGTCAGTCGAATGCAGTTACTCCTATGATGAGTAAGTATAGAGTCGTGATCAATTTGCGGAACGAATCATTCGGTCAGTCGGCCAGAAGTGAATTTCGAGCCATGGTCAGCCTCCTTTACTAGATCTGAGTTCGTACTATTCTGAAGACATACATATCGCGAAAATATTTATGTCGTAGCTGCTCTAATCAGTGCAGCTTTGACTATGGCAGAGGACCTGGCCAAGTGTTGCCCCTAGCAAGAAAGATTTCATTTTCCAACCTTTGCAGGCCAATAAACGAATCGATATATTGATTGCCCAACAAAAGTTATTTTTAAAAAGTCTGCTAAACACTTTACGTTTCAGTTCTACGGAAAAATACTCGTAATAATAACTTCTTGAAAGTCTCCGTGAAGAATTTGATCTGCTTTCTTGAGAACTCCGAAAATTCGGCGTATAATGACAGTTTCCTGCTGATCATTTCCGGTACAGATTCTCCTAAAAATAGAAAAAAGTTTATTTTTAGCGCTACGTCAGCTTAAGAATAAAAACATTTAATGATCTTCCTTATTTTCTTGGAGATTCCGTTGTCTGTATTCTAACACTAATCACTGACAAGAGTTTGCTAGAACAGTATTAGGACAACATAGAGGATATCGTGGACGGTCGACGAACAAGCAGTTGACGAACAAAACGGTGATGACATGGTCTTCAGTTTTAAATGATTCAATAGAAAAATAACCTGCACTGTAAACTGCAAAGTGTTCACTTCATAAAAAATAATTAGCTTCGAAACGAAATTGCTATTGCAACTGTTTACAAGAGGGAGTGGATAGCGCAGTGGTAGTTACGTTGTCATCACAAGCATAGTGCTAGTTCGATCCCGCTTCAGGCCAACCAAGCCTTTCATCCCTCCGGGGTCAGGAACTTGATGCCAGACTTGTCTGGGAAAAAATCGCTTTTTGCAGTTCAATTGGGAACGCTTCAGCTAAACTATCTCAGAACCCCAGAGAGAATCGATTCGACCAGCATTCTACGACATTCAAGGTGAAATGAAATTCTTTCAGCAGCAGCCGTAGCCACACATAAAAGTTGGAAGATCTTCGTGGATAATGGAAGAGACGAAAAGAATTGAATGTGAGAACTGCTGGGGTCTGCACAGCAGGAGTGAAAACGGGTCATATGAAATAAAATAAAAAAAGCTCTTTACAAGTCACATTAGCACACCGTTCTAACTATTTTTTTACAATTACTGATAAATTTAACAAATTATTTACTGCATACTACAGCTTTTCATGGCAAGGTTTTATGTGAGATATAACCACAGTGATGCTGAGATATTTGCAAAACTCCGGACCATAGGTGTCTGCGGTGGAGATCGAACTCATTATTACCCTTTAAGGGCGTTAACGCGTTCAGCACCACACAGTGCGGGCCATTCGTTTCGCCTTTCTCTCAGAAAATTTCATATCTACCAGCGTCATCAGCAATCATCCATCAACGGGATTGATTTGGGGAGTAAAATCTGCATTGAACCCAGTTACGCTGAGGCTGTAGTCGCTCGAAATGCTTCCATAAGCAAGGTTGCACTTAGCATCACACTTTGACGAACTTGTACAAGATTTCCTCTGTTGCCTTAAAGGATAAAAGGCTAAAGTTCTCGGCGTTGATCAATCCCTTAAGGATGCGTCATACATTCGACATCATTAAGTATCGTTGGAGGTGACTGAATGCATATTTGGCCTTTACAATGACTCGCGGTGGTCTACCGATGTATCGAAACAGTGCTACTATCATCGCAGGCAAGTTTGGTACCGTTTTGATGACCCCGGAGGGATGGAAGGCTTGGGTCAAGAGCACGGAGATCGATTCCACGCGTGTGTTGCAGGGCGCCTATAACCACTGCGCCACACTCCCCTCTCTGCTGCCTTAAGCGTATGCAATTTTTCATTTCTAAAATCATTAGAAACTAAAACAGACAATAAACTGAAAACGGAATTTAGTTTCCTATCCTAATGGCAAAGATCAGTACATTCTCGGTTATAATTTCAATTAATAAGTCAAGCCCACTGCAAGCTGAGACATGTTGGTTTAAAGCCCACAGTGGAATCACATGCATTGAAATCAATGGCACAGTTGGATGTGGAAAAGACTTTCTCCAGCGAACGGACAATGTGGTGCAGAGCAATAAAGTGCCTAGTGCTGTGTTGTGTGCTCGAAGCTACGGCGCCGTTCCGGATCAGCGGAAAAGAACTGGAACTAGAAATGACTTGAATTCAATGTACCGTCAAGATAGGTGGCTTCATTTCTCGGTGAAACTTCACAAATAATACAAGAATACGATAGAATGAAACTAAGAATCGGAAAGAACTATATCAGCAAAAAGTCAAAAATGTTACTCACTACTTCATTAATTAACTATTGGTTTAATTCTTAATATTATTACAGTGATCAGTAAGTAGCAAGTTGAATGCCGCAGCACATTTCAACTCAACGAGGCTCCAATTTACAAATTCATAGCATATTGTTTAATTGACATAGTCACCTGTATCTCGCTATATCTTTATTCATGAACCTTCGTGATTTTTTTACTTTGAATTTTCTTAACTAATTCGGTAAAGTAAAGATCGTAAGTGAAAGGAGGTGATTCAAGGGGGAAACAAGGTAGATTCACACAAGGTAAACAAGTGAGGAGGAACTAATGAAAGCAGGGAGACCGGGGTGTAACTCATTAATCTGAAAAGACAATAGAAACGATATGATCATAAGCAAGATATGACCGTTCACACATATATGAGGCCATGAACGACCAAAGTAGGAAGACTTCTTGATGTCGGCGTGCCAGGTAAGAGGCTTACAGCATTCAACATTGATCAAAATCCACTAGGAATGCGTAATGCATTCCTCTCCATTCACAGCATCGTTGAGATGATTTAACGCCTATCTAGCGTAAACAATGACTTGTGCTACCCTACGCTGCATAAAGTCACTGTTTTTATCCCACCAACATGTGTAGTGCCGTACCGAAATTTTTCGTAACCGGAAGGATAGAGAATTTCGTTGGCTTAAGACCTGAGATTGAACCCATGACCGTGCTTACATTACACGCGACCTCCAACCAGTGTGCAACACGCACTTCAACATCCCAACTACGATAAGAAAAAAGGCAGCGATAATCATAAAACTGGTGAATTTTGTTCCTATCAAAACAGCAGAAGCTTCAAACACTCACTACGATACGGTATACTCTACATTTACAATGAAATCTCTAATTTCGAAAAAATGTAGAGCAAAATCTTTGCTATGGTGCTTCAATAGGTTTAGAAATTATATTGGAATCAATAGTAAGCGTGGCTTACGCAAATAGTCTTTACGATACAGAGAAGATAAAACTAAAATCAACAAATGAGGATGATGTAGACGAACCCAGTAATAAGTACCGAGCAGCTTAAGAGACATGTTCTCTCAGATTACTGAGCGTACATTTTCGCCAAAGTATTTTAGGTATTCAAGGTCCTATTTCTTGTTTACTGTGCTTTCTCCGCCTTCTTTCACACCATTCCTTTCGAAAAAATTTCATGAGATTTCATACGAATAGTTGATTGACAAGAAAGATTTGAATCGTTTACGGTAGGGAGTAAATGAATTATTGTAGTAAGAATGAATAACAGCTGCCAATGTAACACAAATGAATCATCTGTTACTCTATTAATCAACGAATGACTGAAGTGAGTCCGCAGGAAGTCTCCATTAATCACATTCACGGATGGAACATTTCAGTTAGCATCACAATCTTAACCCTTTTTATTTACTGCCTATTGTTTTTAACGGTAGGATATGCTGCGAAATATAAATACTATAATGCTGAGATATTTGCAAAACTCCGGACCTCAGGTGTCTGCGGTGGGGAAGGAACGCACTATTGTCCTTTCCGGGGAGTAACGCGTACACCACCACACCATGCGGGTCCTTGGTTTCGCCTGTCTCTAAACTAGTTCCCCTCTCCCCGGAAAGGACAATAGCGCGTTCCTTCCCCACCGCAGACACCTGAGGTCCGGAGTTTTGCAAATATCTCAGCATTATAGTAGTTACATTCCAGTTAACCCCGTCTGTCTGTGTGAGAATTTACATAATTTAAACACGAGACAGAACCCCTGTATGGCAGATACAGGGGTAATCCCATCACAACGCATGGAACGCATCTCATAAATCCCATTTACGTCTCAAAAAAGTTCATGGTCACTTTTTTATCGAGTTTAATCCCCGAGTTGTCACCTGGGAATAGACCAATATTGTCGTGGCCAAACAGTATGAGATTTCTCACACGAGAGAGATTTCTACAACCCCAATCAAAGTTCTCTTTTATTCATATGATCAGACACGAAGTATTTCGGAGTTACGCGTCTGTTCGGGTGTCGTTGAATGCTGGTCGAGTTGACCTTTTGTGAAATCTTGGCTTATGTGTAGTAGAGCTTTCCCAACGGCCTTCATCACAAAGGCAGAAGCCTGACTTTCTTGGATCTAGGTGAACCTTTCCAAACAAGCGTGGTATGAAATTCCAACCTCAGAGGGTTGTGTTGGGACACCAATGAAAAGGTCAACTTTTTTCCGACTAGAATCATTCACCTCCCAATGGTTTACCGCCTCATCGTGGGTCGGAGGTGTTCCTGGATGTCGGACTGCGATGTACAGCGGGGAGATTCGTCCTCCCGGTAGGGTCTCCTAAGCTGAAAAGGAATCCGGCGTTTCCATCAGAAAGCCTAGCTAAGAGTAAAGCAATACCAGGATCCACCACCGTCCTGGTATCAAAGCCGCATAGTGGAAAATCTCCCACTGATCCACAAGAGATGCGACTGCCTGTGGTGGTGAAAACCTGGAGCATATTTTGGCCAGGTTGGCCTCGGGATTCCAGGGAACCACAATGGCTTATCCAGCAAATCTTCGAGAAATGGAGCTTATACTGGGGCTCCTATCCAGCGAGGACGGGCTATTCAAGTATCAAGTAAAAATCATTCAAAACACAGATTGTTCCGAAGTAATAGTCAGAAATCAGAATCACATGAAGATGTCATGGGGTTAGTCACAGCGAGTGTCCACCTGACAAGAGAACCACAACTGATGACTCAGATTTACACTGTGTTTACATTTACAAAAGAGCAACTGGCAATTGAATTCATGACTGATGGAATGTAAGGACATTAATTCGATATGCACAAAATGAATGTATGAATATGAATGAATATAAATAAGTGGTTATACCGTATACAAAATGTTGTTTTACCCTATATTTGAAGTTTTAATTCCATTCAGGAAATCGTATAGACTTTGCTAATGGCGGACTATTCCTATACGATAGATGTCACATTATCTTCATAATCGTTTAGTGACGACGAATAGTGAGAGTCCGACTTTGTCACCGAAACCAACTGTAAGTGAGGGTCAGAGATTCAAAACTACTGGCTAAGTATTTTGAGAGAAAAATACCACAAAATCTTAAA